AGCGTTCAACTGCCGAAACGTTGTAAATATGATAATGCAGATGAGGATAAAAGTCCGAATAATCTAAAGCATGCAAGTAATCATAATACCTCATCTCAGAGATAGAAACAGATCCTGAAGAAGGCCGGAGAGTTCAACGGCCGAAACGTTGTGAATATGACAATGCAGATGAGGATAAAAGTCCGACTAATGTAAAGAATGCAAGTAATCATAATACCTCATCTCAGAGATATAGACAGCGATTGTGGTAATAAGTTCAACACAATTTTTTTTTCTGGACTAATAAGTAAAACTTGTATCACAAAACCATAATTATGTGAAACATTCTCAGAATCCTAAATTATGTGTTGGCTTTAAATAACCTGCAAAAGTTTGATCAGTCGTAAAACAACAAACAAAAACAATTGCTTACAGTGGCGACACCATCTATCAATATGATTCACCACCTCCTGAACTTATACATGTGAAAGATAACTGTCTAGAAAATTATATAAAATAATTATATAAGATTAATTAAATATAATTGTACCTATATTCTAAAACTATATTCAGCAGAGATCAAAATGGATGGTGAATCAAGAATGAGTTACGAAAACGTAGCTTTGGTTTCTTTTTGTCTTTCCAAAATGTAGTCCAAATAAGCGAGTACTCAGTTTAACTGGGGTCCCAATAAACCAGAATAAACTGCACGCTGTTACATATTTGTACAGTTGTCAGTGGGTCCACAATATTAATCATACTTGTCCTTATGTTTGTGCACACAGGTGTAAATGACGTTTCTTTTAACTAGATGCCGTGACTGCAAGCTCACAAGCGCGCATACGTAACCGGGTCTTTGTGTGTACCTGTCAATAAAGAGCCGCATAGATGAGTATAAAATCCCCGATTCTCACAGCTGTTTTAAGAGACAATACTTTTCCCCATGAACACTCTGAATAAAGAAGAGGAGGGCGAACGTAACGCTCGATTTGCATTACGATTCTAAAGGAGTTGCAAATGGATCTTTCTTCATTTGAATGCATTATGCATAAGCGTCATCAATAATGATTAAATCCGTCGACAAGAAAAGAAAGTTGCGTTATACAACGTGTCTACACGTCCTTCTGTATCAATAAGATGCAAATCGCTTCTAAACAAAAAGCTCGTTCGGATGGATGCTGACATACCGCAGTTCAGTGGGAATGTGGTAAAAATAAGTGGTTGTTTTAAAGAAATGATAAAAGAGATCTGAGCGAAGAAGAAAAGAAGACTTCAGCTGGGAGGAAGTAGGGTAAATCGTGACAGAGCAGAGGTGAGAGAATCGCGAGAGAGTGAATAGTTAGTTGGGGAAAAAAAAAGAAGACAAAATGATGAGATTGGGAGGAAAGTGAAAAGAAAGAAAGAAAGAAAAAAAAGATGATGAGAATAGAATTAGAGACTGGATTTAAAAATATGGACCGAGTAACGCAACAATGAGGTGGAAAGGAAAACAATGAAAAGAAGGAGAAAGGAAGAAGGAAAGAAACAAAGAAGACAAACAAACAAACAAAAAAGAAAGAAAGAAAGAAAGTCTATAAGGATAGAAGACGATGATGCTAGAATTGGAAATTAAATTTAAAGACATGGGTAGAAGATAACGTAATAAAGAAAAATAGAAACGTAATGATGGAAACAAGGAGAAAGAAAGAAAGAAAGAAAGAAAGAAATAGAAAACGAAATGGAAACAAAAGAAAGAAACGAAATGATGGAAACAAAGAAAGAAAGAAAGAAAGAAAGATAGAAACGTAATGATGGAAACAAGGAGAAAGAAAGAAAGAAAGAAAGAAAGAAAAACGAATAGAAAAGAAACAAAGAAAGAAAGAAAGAAAGAAAGAAAGAAAGAAAGAAAGAAAGAAAGACTAAGAATAGAATTAGCGATTAGACTTAAAACATGGGAGAGGTAACATAACAGGTGTAAAGGAAACGGTATGAAGAAAGAAAGAAAGAAAGAAAGAAAGAAAAAGACTAAGAATAGAATTAGCGATTAGACGTAAAACATGGGAGAGGTAACATAACAGGTGTAAAGGAAACGGTATGAAGAAAGAAAGAAAGAAAGAAAGAAAGAAAGAAAGAAAGAAAGAAAGAAAGAAAAATAAAGAATGAAGACTATGAGTATATAATTGGGCATTAGATTTAAAGACATGGATAGAGAATAACACAAAAATGGAAACGAAACAATGAAAACAAAGAAAGAAAGAAAGAAAAAGAAAGAAAGAAAGAAAAAGAACCAAATAAAAAAGAAAGAAAGAAACATCTTTGAGAATATAAATAGAGATTAGATTTAACGACATGTGGAGAGAAACGAAACAATTAGGTGGAAACGAAACAATGGAAGGAATGAGAAAGAAAGAAAGAAAGAAAGAAAGAAAGAAACAAAAACAAACAAACAAACAAAGAAAAGAAAGAAGACGATGAGAAGAGAAGTGGAGATTATATTTAAGGATATATGGCAAGAAAAAACAATAAATATTTTTTTAAGCATTTCACCCCAAGCAAGGCGGGATGCCAGTAATACGCAGGGGGTTACAGAATGGGAGCGAGAATAAAGAAGCGTGATGGCGGAAAGGATGAAGAGAAGGGCAGGAGATAGTTGACTCTAGCTATCAGGGAAACAAGTAATAGGAAGAAAATTCCACAGACGGGAGGTGCGAGACATAAAACTATTGAAGTTGAAGAGGCGGCCATATTTAACCGTTTCGACATTGAAAAGGTGGGACCGTGAGGCCAGCTTAGTCGCACGCTTAAATTCATTCAGTCTGGGAACTAGCGATAACAGCTTGTCGGCGCATGAAAAAAAAGGCGAATCAATTAAAGGAATGCCAAAATGGAAGAAAGAAAAGCAGAAAAGAAAAACGAAGAGGATCATGGAGCGCCAGATTTTTGAACAATGGAAAGAATTGTACATTAAATAATCTTGTATGGTTATGAACAATAATGAAAAAGAATATAGATGATAATAAATTTTATAAAATGCATCAGTAATAAAATCAATCGGAAACTGACTAGTAAATTGAAAACTATGCATTTTAAGAGAAACTAAAAATCAACAAAAGGCAAGTATTTCTTTAAAAAATATGAGGAGACATATAAAGTAAATTTATTGTGATATACACTCAGCTTAACTTAGTGTAGCTTAGAGGAGACGAGGTGTAATGGATAGCGGCTCAGATTGAGGAATCGGAGTGCCGTGTTCGAATTTCAATCGAATCCATTGCATTCACTTACGAGCTAATATCCTTGGGAAAGATATAAATCCTCTTCCTCTCCCACCAGCTATGGCTAAATAGCAGGACACATTGGGTTCTGGCTTCTATAGCCTTGGAAACTGGTCTAGGAGAAGGACAACTCTGAATTCAAAACCTGTGGAGGGACGTTTGGGAACATAGTGGTACACGGTGCACCAGGTGTTTGTATTCGGCTCTTCAAAAAGTGTGATGGGTTCTGCATAAAGCCATCACCACAATAATAAAGTCATATGTGAAGGTTGTCTGACTGTCGGCCCCTAAGAAGTGAGGTGCCTGTCCCTCATACGTCGTAAAAAAAGAGGGGGGCATCAGGTCAGAATTAAAAATAGACTTATGGTTATGTCTTGATTAATAACTGCACTCTTTGACCTTACTTTTCTATTTAGCGTAGATCTGACATTTAATTGCTTAATCAAGGCATATAAAGTTTATAAACTCCTATCATAAATATATATATATATATATATATATGTGTGTGTGTGTGTGTGTGTGTGTGTGTGTGTCTTTGTGTTTGGGAACCTTTGTGGCATACACTGCACCAGGTCTCTGTATTCGGCCCTTCAAAAAGTGCAGTTGGTTCTGAACAAAGCCTTCATTACTAAAATGAAATGAGGCACCTAGAGGCGGAGTAATGGTTAGCAAGCTTGTCTTGATAAATCAATTACGACTGAATAGTGAGTTCGATTCTCACTGGGCGCCCCATATTTCCGGGTTTGTGCCACATCTAATCCGGGCTTAGAAAATCACTACTATAATCAAATGATTTGTACCGGAAGTCTTGTACCGGAAGTCTTCTTGTCAGTTTCTAGGAATTGAGTTGTTTGACACTCATACGTTGAAAACGACGGGAAAGTTCATTAACTCAGTGAAACATAAGTCCATTTCTTGTAAATGCAATGTGGAGGATCAGTTTTACGAATCCAGGAGTGACAGCTAACTTGTCTCTCTCTCAGCCTAAACAAACACTATACGAAATCCTAGCTTTAAAATGGACACAAATAAAATATTTTTACGATACTTTAATTTTATTTACCGATATGCCAACACTTGTTGGGTTATTGAATGATGATGTTAAACACGTTCTATATCACTGAGATGAGATATTATGATTATATGCATTATTTACATTATTTGGACAGTTATCCTCATCTTCATTGCCATATTCACAATGTTTCGGCCACCATATATCTGAGATAAGGTATCATGGTTACTAGTAGTATTTACATTATTCGGAATGTTATCCTAATCTCCATTGAAATATTCACAATGTTTCGGCCGTTGTACACATCTTCCTTCTTCAGGTGATAAGAATTTCGACCCGAACCCTTTATTTCGTCCTCCGGCGTAGGTTGTTCTGGAGGGTTGAGTTAAAGGGAAATAACTGGGACAACCGTAAGAGGCATGGCATGCGGAACTAGAACAATCTACCCCGATGGACGAAATAAAGAGTTCGAATCGAAATTCCAATAACGTGAAGAAGGCCGACTGAAACGTTGCGAATATGGCAATGAAGATAAGGATAACAGTCAGAATAATGTAAATAATTCAAGTAAGTTAAACCCTATAAGGAATTAATAGATATATAGACGTAGTTCTGTTTATGCGAGACGTAAAAAGATAAACATAAGTCCAGTTTATATGATTCAAAATATATATATTCAACTATATTAAAAAAGTAGACTTCGGTCGATTTTACAATTGTATCAAAAAGTTAGACAGAATTATTATTTAAATTAATGTTCAAAACTACTCAGAGGTCTCCAGTTTACACGGCAGACAATAAAAAAAAAATGATTAAAAATAAAACTCCGGTTTAATACACTAGAATAAAAAGATAAACCTAATTGCTAATAATTGCTATTTAGACTTGAATTCAAAAAGGTCGACATAGGTCCCGTTAAGACTTTAGACAAAAGTCAAAAGACAATAATCTCGTTATACGTTAGTCAAAAATTCCGCTAACGCAGTATAATAATGTAGGATGTAAGTTAGATAGGAAGATGCTAATAAAATACTATGGTATGTCGCCATCCAGACCAAAAGCACCATCCAAAAAAGAAGACTAAATCTGATAAGCGTTATTAAAGATAAAAAAGCAGAGAGTAAAGATGAGATAGATAGATAGATAGATAGATCGATAGATCGATCTATAAATAGATAGATAGAGAGAGAGAGAGAAAGAGATACAGTGAGAGAGAGAGAGAGGGGGGGAATTAAAAATGTCAGAAATTTAAAAGTTGGCAGACATTAGATTAAATCATAAGTAAATTTCGCTTTAGTGAACCAGTTGTAATCGCGAATCTATCATCCTAACCACGAATCATTCGTGGTAGTTAAATGAAGTACAGAAACAGATAGATAGATAGATAGATAGATAGATAGATAGATAGATACATTCCGACATATACATAGATATGAATAGAATTAGAGAGATAGACAGATATAGATATGAACAGACTGATATATATATATATATATATATATATATATATATATATATATATATATATATATATATATATATATAGATAGATAGATAGATAGATAGATAGATAGATAGATAATGCGAACAGACTGAGATAGATAGATAGATAGATAGATAGATAGATAGATAGATAGATTCCGACATAGACAGATATATAGATATGAACAGAACTAGATAGATAGATAGATAGATAGATAGATAGATGGAAAGAGAAAGAGGCAAATAGGTAGGATAGACAGGCAGACAAATAGATAGAGGAAGAGAGAGTAAGAGAGAGGGACTAAACATAACATAAACCTGCTCGAAAGTTGGCAAATATTGGATTGAGTCATAAGAACCAATTGTAATCGCGAATGTACCATCCTAACTACGAACCATAGGTGGTAGTTAAGAATAAAATTGCAGCACGCTATCTTACCTTGGTCTTTGCACTATTAGTCACATCCTATGGTGTAATGGCAAGATAGATCACTGTGTGCACTCGATGATCTGTCATCACTATAAAACAGCTCCAAAGTGGTATGAGATTAGCCTGAATCTGTAACTGAGAGAACAGATGTTCTAGTTCTTTGGGATTTTTCTATCAACACAGATCCAAATAATGCAAGCAAATCTGCCATATATTATTATCAAAGACATACAATGAAAGTATTTACACACTGATTGAGTTGAACGTACCAAATAACCAAGGCATCCCTCAGAAGGTTTTCTGAAAAGTTAATCAAATACAATGAGCTGTAGAAGTAAATCGAGAAGCAGTAGCACTTAAAAACTAAAACACTTCGTGTTGTGGTTGGAGCTTTGGGGTCTGATAAAGACAGGAACTCAAGAACTTGTAGACCATATCTCCGGGAGATTCAAAAATATTTAAGACGGTCACATCCATAACCTTCGAAGAGCTTTGCTCAGTTAAATCGTCTTTTGTTAACAGCTGAAAACAATACAACGTTTACATCTTTTGTTTGTCCTAAGTCATTGCTTATTACCAGGTATAAGATTATAAAACAAAATCATATCATAAAGATTTTTTAATGTAATAATAATAATGATTATCAGAACCCCTGTAAATTCCACGGTTTTACAAATAACTTTTTTAGTTCTACAATTTGTACGTTTCAACATATGACCATTCCCAGAAAAGTCACGCAGTCTCTCTTAAAAATACTGTAAACATATGATACACCCATTGCTGCGAAAAAAGCAAATGTATCTAATGCAAAAACGATGGCAAGATAAGCCTCTTTATGCTCAATACACTGTCCGTACCAAAAAGCCCATATCAAAAAACTCCGTACAGCAGTGGTTACGTAGTGCAGAGTTAAAAGCTGTAACCGAAGATTTTTATTCTTGCTGCATAATGTTGTTCATGATGACGGTCGTCTTCGAGTATGGAATCCAGAGGTTAGCAGTGAATATTTCGAAGACAGTAGGAAAGCGTTGTTCCGGTTAGCAGTGGATATTTTGGTAAAAGTAGCAGAGCGTAATTCGTCCTTCTGTTTCTCTTCGTCTGACAAGTTGGACTGGACATTCGGGTAGAGTAGACAAAATGGCCGCCTTTATACACGACGGATTGAATGTTCTACGTCTTCTGATTGGTTAACATTCTATTGGTGGATTATAAAGTGAGTTAAGTCATTTGGGCTAACTCACTAGGACATAGTATACACAAAAAACTGCAACACACAGGACCAATGCTTGCTCATAATTACCAATCCCACATACTGAAAAATTTTGTTAACCCGAAATTCAGAT